TCCTCTATCCCTATCCCTATGTCTATCCCTATCCCTATCCCTATCCCTCTCCCTCTCTCTCTCCCTATCCCTATCCCTATCCCTATCCCTCTCCTTCTCCCTCTCCCTATCCTTCTCCTTATCCCTCTCCTTATCCTTATTAATATTATTATTATTATTATTATTATTATTAGGATTATTAATTTGTGCAACTAATGTACTTAGATCTGGCTGATTTTTTCCTGCACCCCTAGGGGGCCCCCTTCCTCCTCCTAGCCTTCTTGGTAACCAACCAGGTACAGTTCTTGCTCTCTCTACGTCTACTAATATTCTTTTATTATCTATCTTAGTACCATCTCCTTTCTTGTATGCTTCCTTCATATCTTTATCATTAAAATATTCAATAAATGCATATCCTCTTGATTTACCTTCTTTATTAGTAATTATTTTTATTCTTTTTATCTGTCCATACACCTCAAATTCTCTTTTTAATTTCTTCTCTGTTGTATCATAACTTAATTTACCAATAAATAATGTACAAAAAGGATCACCTTGTATATTTTTATCTTGTAGAGGTTTATATAGTTCAACTAATTGCTGCTGCTGCTGTAAATGTTGCAGTAACTTTGTTCTTTTTATACGCTGCTTACGTTGACGAGGAGACTCAAAGGGAATTGGGGCTGGAGGAGGAGTTAACTCAAACTTTTTTACGTAGTCGCTTAGTCCTATATAACGTCTTGGATGTTTAGATTTAAATGCAGGGAATGGATCTAATGGTTTACGTGCAGCAAATAATGCTAATATATGTGGTGGCATACCTATTGCAGCCATCTTCTTATTTATTTTTTGTTGTTTTTTTTCTTTATACTATTAATATTCTCTATTTATTCTTATCTTATATTCTATATCTTTTTATTTACTTTATTTTAATTGGTTATATATATACCCTATTATTTATACAAAAAAAAATACAATATATATATATATATATATATATACAAATATTGATTTATTATTATCTAGTATATTATTTGTATATTCATAGGGATACCCAACTCTCCTTCTTCTTCTTCTTCTTCTTCTTCTTCCTCGTCCTTATTTATCCAGTGTATATGCAACTATTTATTCATATATTTATCTATTTTATTATTATTTTTACAAGAAAAAATATATATTATCCTCCTCCTCCTCCTTTGATGCTCCTGCTGCTGCAGTTGTTGGTGTTGGTGTTGGTGTTGGTGTTGGTGTTGTTGTTGTCGTGCAGCAGCTGCACCAAGCATGAATGCATGCAATGTATACAAATAAAAAGACAAAATAAAATAAATAAATATTATTATTATTATATATACATATTTATATTACAATTTATGATTGATCCTCTTGTTCATGCTTCCCCTGATGCTGCTGCTGCTCCTGCTCCTGCTCCTGCTGCTGATGATGAATGAGATGACGCTCCTGCCCGTCCTTGTGCTGCTGCTGCTGCTGCATGCATGCATGCAGCATCAAGTTTTCCTGCATTAATATCTACTTTATTTATTTATTATTTATATTATTTTATTTATTTATTTAAATATTTTATTTATTCTTATTTATTTTACTCATTTTTATTTGCTTCCTATACTATACTGACATATAAATATACCTCCCTATACACCGCAGCACAGGCACAGGCAGAGAGAGAGAGAGGGAGGGAGGGAGCAGTGCATGCGCATGCATGCATGCATGCATGCATGCATGCATAATTTATATGCATGCATGCACGAGGGTATTTTTTTTTTATTTATTTTCTTTGTATGTCTTTTATGTTTTATTTTATTTATTTTTATTTATTATTTCTTTTTTTTATTTTCTTTATCCTTTTATTCAGGTGTATAATCAATATATTTACATTTATATATATTATTAATAATTAACATATAAATAGATAAAAAAAAAAGGTAAATAAATAAAGGAGTATTATTTTATGTCTACAATAAATAAATAAATAAAATAATAAATAATAATTACTATAAATATATTACACATTAATACTATAATATTAATATTTATTATTATATATTATTATTATATGTAAGTTATACAAAAGAATAAATATTAATTGTATCCCCTTCTTATCTAGCTGAGCTGCCTATACACCCCAATAAAGGAGTTTTATTTATTTATTTAATGCTTATTATGTAAGAAAACTTCCCCTCTCCTATGCTGCCTATACACCCCAATTTATATTGAATAACAACTTTGCCTACTGCTGGTGCTGCTGCTGCAGTTGCTGCTGCTGCTGCTACTGTTGCTGCTGCTACTGTCGCTGCTGTCTGCAGCACTACGTTACGACTACCCAGCTAGCTAGCTAGCTAGCTAGCTAGCTAATAAATATCTGCATGCATATAATGTGTATAAATGTTGAATAATTAAAAGTTTTTGTTAATAAAATAAAAAGAAAATAAATAAATAAATAAAAAGAAAAAGAAAAGAAATAAAGAAATAAAGAAAATAAACGGATATATATATATATATATTATAT